AGTTTTAAAGCTATATAAACATATTTTTTAAAAATTTTTTTTTTTATTTTTTTGTTAACATACCAAATACAGCGTTATTCATGAGTTTAAAAAACTCCCTCTCGAAGTCATTCGTAGCGTTCTTTCGCATCTCAGTATTCAAATTGATATATTCGGCTAACCAAGGAGATTGATCGAATTGTACGACTCTATGTACCTATAGTATGATAATAGATAATAGATATGTTACAAATGTTAAATTAATAAAAAAATAAAATAAATATTTACTTTTTCCACTATCAACCCATTTGCTATAGCCTGTTGAAGATTACGGTAGTGTATTATATAGTTTGTCTTCCTCTCGAATGTCGCCATCAGTTTCTTTACCTTCGATCCCGTAGGTATTCCGTTTTGAGGAAGGAATGGTAAGTCATTATGCTCGTCATGTAGGTGTTCAGGATATGACACATCTACCTCGTATATCCGACCTATGGGTGAAGTCTCATCCAAATCATCGAGTCCATCCAACTCTGGCTTGACCCATTTAAAATTTGCATAAGGCATATTTTGCGACATCGCCCAACCGTATAGGTTATTACCTAAAATAATACAAGTACAATATAATATCCTCGAGAAAAAAAAAAATGTATACTTACAATCCTGATACACCAACCACGAATCTTCCTTCGAATCATCATAATCAGATACCTTATCGTTATTCGATTTTGCATAACGCATACTTGCCTGCACCAGTCCACCTCGTATACCTATAAAAAAAAAAAAAAAAGTTATGTATTTATTTTAGTAATAATAAAATAAGTTTAATACCAACCATTTTCAAACATTAACATCATATCATAATCTGATAGCAGTTCCAGCTTCATTGAGGTGTATTTAAGCATACAGTCGAATGAAAACTCTGGAGCGGTGTAATAGTATGCAGGATCTAAGTTGTAGGCCTTCATACACACATCACGGAAATTTTCGAAAATGTCAGCCAGTAGCAGCACATCGATTTTCAAATACAAATCTGAATATTCACCAATCGTTTTGCACTCAAAATGTTCCCACACTTTCATCGCGTGCTCGTACTCTTTATCTTCAACCCCCGACTCGGTTAGGATACTATAGAATTCAGCTTTATCCGGTAACGCATTTTCATCAAGCTTACTCCACGCGTCTGTATACTCGTAAGGATATACACCCTTACGGGTTACAAGGTTCATATCATCAGTGGAGAAATGCTTCCCCGTCTCACGGAATTTAGAAAAGTCAGGAGTTAGCAAATTTTTAGCGAGTGTTGAAAGTTTCGAAGCCATAAATCTGCAGGTGTCTATAAATCTGATCGTAAAGGTGTTTGATACGTATTTGGAGAAGGAAATAAACTTCTCCTCGCTGTTGGGTATAACCGTGATCCTCTGCGTATCATATCCTAACTCTGTCACTATGAAATGAGCATCATAGTTTGATAGGTTATGTAGGAAACACGGTACAAATACAGGTGTTTGTAGTTTCTGGTTACACGTATTGCAAAGAGCCTGTCGATATTTTCCAGAAAGGTGACAGTGGTCAGCTGTTTTTCGATGTTGGATCACATGAGGTGGTGTAAACTTTATACAACATAGGTTACAGTGTGTCGTCGCCTCGTGAACCACTCTGTCATGTGTACTCATATTTATCATTACGTTTGTTTTTAACAATTTCTCTATCTTTAACGATATTTCAGAAACCATTTCCACGAAACGTGCCGCAACATCCCTACGTTCCTCACTACCACGATAAATAATAGGTTTAGTCGGTATGTCGTAATCTTCGAGCAGACTTAATGGAACGTTATTGGAAGCCTTAACGAAAATACCGAAACTCATAGGCTCATGCTTATGAATTATGTCTGTGTTTTTCCCCTTCTTTTCACCATCAGCCTTCAATAGTAGCGCTTCGAAGTCAGCATATATAACGATGGGATGTCGTTCCGTGTTTCTCCACGCATCAAACTCTAGACAATCCCCTTCTGCCGGCATAACTGGTAATATTGGTTTATGTAAACCACATATAAGTTTATGTTGGTCTAACGCAGCCTGTCCACACAATTGATATTTTCGAGGTCTGGAGTCAAAACTCGTAAAACATCGTTTACAAAATAATAATTTTCCTTCATATCTAGTTTTTTGAGCGCGAACGAGTCTTGAAAAATTAGATATATATATGTAATGTGTATTATCGTTATCTGTCACTAATAATAGATCAAAGTGATCTCGCTTTTCATCATCTACAACTCTGAGTGGGAAAACCTCATATGTTGGAAACTTTTTCGGCGGTTGGAATTGTTTTTCAATACCAAAAATATTGATGGAGACGAATGGATTATTTTTTTCAAATATTTTTATATCAGATAACGGTGTTGGAAATGAGATACAATCGAAATTATATTTCCCCTCGTGCTTGCGGTAGTTTTCACCTATACGATATTTTGGTTGTTCTGTCACATGCTTGGCTAATATAGCCCACTTGAAGCATTGTTGATCTATATTTTGTGGGTTTATTGTACCTCTTTTTCTGTCGATACTATCTGGTAAGGATATTTAAGATGAACCTGACATTGGTGTATATTTATACACCCCTAATAATAATCCATCTATAGCTTCTAGTGTGAATCCACTTCCTCTACCCGTATAAGTCTCTTCTTCTGTTAATAATTTTGTAAAAGATTCCTCGACAATAGCTGATATATCCGACTCTCTAAACAACTCGACTGCAGATGTTTTGAATGCGCGATTTTCCGAGGAATTTTCCACACGCGGTCTATTATAAGTGGCTTCTAGTTTCAAATTAAATTTGATAGCGTTTTTCTTAACATGTGCTTTCAGTATATCGATTAGATCGGATTTCAATGAGTTTAGAAATATATTATAATTTTCAACTTTATTAATATTTTTAGCGTAATACCATACTATTTTACGGTTAGCTGAAGTTGAAATTTCTATAAGACCCGGGGATCTAACCAGTTCCATACGCACTTTTTTCGCCTTAACAGCTGAAGTAGAATTAGCGGTGGAAATGCGTTTACCATTGACTACAGTCGTATAAGAATCTTAAAAAAAAAAAAAAAAAAAAAAAAATATATGTATAAAACTATCGCTAAATAACAATCTATATACATTTTGAAAACTAATTAACTTTTACTCTGTTCATGTTATTAAAATATAACTAAATCCTTAGGTTAATATTCAGTCTGTGATATTAAAAATAAAACTAACCTTGTAAAGTTTCATCCAAACCCACGTTTTCAAATTCCATAAGTACCTCCTTACACACATCATCATTGTTCAACATACTACATACATTTTGAATAGTTTGACACTGGTTTGATGGTTCTCCCTGTGTGTTTGATACTTTGGTTTGCGGAGTTGACTTTATAGTATATTTGCGAGGTGGATGATTGTGAGTTATATCTAATTATTAAAGATATTTTTGTTATACAATAATTTATTTTAATATAATAATATATATACAATATACATACTATGAACATTTTTTATATGTCTATTGAGATTTGATTTTTTATCGAATGATTTACTACATATAGTACACGGAAACCGTACACCATCGTGCTTCTTTTGGTGGGCAGTCAAATTGTCTTTTCGTGTAAAGGTTGATACACATTGATCGCATTTAAACATTATTAAATTTATAAAGTATAAATAAAATAAAGGAAAAATATTAAGTATATACACTTGATATAATAAACACTTAGAATAAACACTTTAAAAATTTTAAAACACTGTAAATTCTTTAAAGTCAGCGCCTGTAGGTACGTGTACACTGGTTTAACGCAGTAGACGGACTAAAGAGAAGTGCCAGTTGTTTCAGCATAGTATAATAGCCGTGTGAATTGTTCCTTCTTCGATATGATAAATACTTGTATTATTATTAGAGGTGGCTATTAAGACATCCTGGCTATGGCAATAAGTAGGCTATTAGGGTTAATGTATTTTTCATTAATTGCTATCTTCTATTCGATATACTATAGGTCATTTATTGATTGTTCGGTGAGCGTGCGAACGGATGTCTATTCCATCCTTTCATTAATTGGCTCCTAATACGCAGCTGCAAGCTATTATTAAATGTTTCTTTTGCAGTTTTATGTACCCGTTAAATATGGCAAGTTCTTAATATAAAGTATATGTGTCGGGGTGGCGCAGTGGTACGGTGATCGCTGGCCAAACCGACGGACTCGGGTTCGAATCCCGGTCCGGAAAAAAATTTTTAGCTTATTTTCGGCCGGTGGCGGCGGTGTGATAACGGAAAAAATATGATAACAGTGATAAAATATGATAACACTGATAACGGAAATAATATGATAACAATAATATAAGTCACGCACGTACGCGAGCAGCGGGCGGTGTGATGAGTGATGAGGATGCGGTGTCAGGATCGGGCGGCGGCGGTGGCGGATGAGGATGCGGGCGGATCAATAATATTATACTTTTAGCAATATGATTATTTGTTTGATGATCACCGCCCATTGATTGTTTTAATGGTGACTTTTTTAATGCTGTAAAAATATAATATAATTATTTTGTTAAAATGTTTAGGTAAATATTATTTACAGGAATAGATCTGTGAAACGGCCGATTTTAAAAATGTGTTTTCTCAATAATAGTTTAAAATAAGAATGCTCACTTAAATATCATAAGTTTAAAATCAATAGGCCATTAGTAAACATATGGAGCACTGGAGTGGTAAACACAATGCTTTTTCAATAAATAATTGTTATATGTTAAAATAAAATAACTTAAATTTTCAAAATTAGAGTTGAAATTGCCAATAAGGCAAAGGTACCTACCAGAGTTTAGTAGAAAACATGTGAGGAAAAATAAAAATAGATGGTCATTTTAAGGAAATATTGATAATAGTCCTCTGCATAGTATGTATAATATATACACTCTGATTTCATTTAAATATTAAAATAATTTATATTTTCTAAGAATCATTATTATCAAATAGATCAAATTCTGAGCATGCCACTGTCACCATTCATAATTTCAACTGACCTTAAAACACCCAACACAAAAACTATTTCTATTAAAAAGAAGCTATTTTCATTTCAATCACCAGCTAAGCAGAAATCTAAAGGTAAATAATTGCTAAATGATTCATTATACCTATTGATAATATTCAATAATACATACATTAATTTTGTGTCTAAATAAATAAATAAGACCGTGACTAAGCAGCGACCAGTTTTTGTCGGGCAGCGGTCAGACATATGGCCAGATGCCGTCCCCACTACGGCGACACGTCGGGCGCTGCCACGGAACAAAGCCAGTCTTATTTTGAATAGAGTATAGATGTCTGTAATTTATTTATTAATTACCTAGTTTAAAATTATCAATTTATGAAGTTTGTTAATTCTATTTCAGACAAAGAACAAAGCTTACAATATACAGTAAATATTGTTACAGAGTTAAGCATAAAAGTGAATAAAATTTTGTTGAACTTAAGTAGACAAGAAGAAATGCTTAAAAATATCTTACATAAAGTCCATTTTAATAACGAGAATGATGAAACTATTAACGGTGATGATGCAATTTTGGAAGGTTTTCCCATAGACAATCTTGATTGTTTAAAAGATATTAATAATAAATTAGCAATTGATAAAATGTTTTGTAAGCAGTTGGTATGTATAAAATACTTTTATTTTCTATTAATTTTTTTGTTGCCATGACTTAGTTGTTTTACTTTTTATAGATGAAAATGTTAAAAGAGTTTCGTGGTTATAGTGTTAGTAAAGTAACAAAATCCATAATGGACACAATATTTACAAATAATCTTGGAAGTCAAATGTCTCTCACTGGAAAAGGGCCAATGAACAAAAAAGAGAAAGAACCACTTAAGAGCTCTATGATTTTCAAAGTTATAACAGGTTAGATACATATTAAAATAAAAAATATTTTTAAATTATTTATAAAGCGTGATCTGGATCTGAAAATATATTATATTGTGTCATAATAAATAATTATTATTTTGTATTTTGTTTTAGGAGTGATTCTAAAAAATGTCAAGGATTCTTATGTCTCAACTATCAATAAGGCGGTTTCTGGATGGCTAAAACATTCTAAAGAGCGCTATCAAGGGGATGTTCATAATAATAATCATGTTAATACATAATTATATAATCCTTCAGTTTTATCTTATCCATTATATTATACACTTATTATTTAATATTAATATGATGAGTACATTATTTAATTTTTATTTTTAATTGCATAAAAAGAATTATGTCCAGTTACATTCATAAACAAATACATTCAATTTTATAAATATCTATGTATGTAATATTTATTTTATATTTTACATTATTATCTTTTTTTTTTTAATTTCATATAAGGAATTATGTCCAATTACATTCATTAACAAAAATATTCACTTTTATAAATATAATGTATGAAATATTTATTATATTATATCTAGTACCGTAAAATGGGGTAACATTGGTCCACTTTTCATACTTTTTTTTATACATCCATGTAAATGTAGAGGAAATGTTTGTAAAATTTGGTACTTTATAATTTTTTTTAGTAAATTATAGATCAACTATTTAATATTGTAAATCACATGTAAATCATCATCATCGGCATTTTTAACAACGCATAAACCAAAATTTTTTTTCAAAATTTTGGGCCAAAGTTTCCCGCACTTGGGGTAACTTTGTCCTCCATGTAAAAACTAACTGTGAATCGTGTATTTTATGACTTGGGTCAATGTTATACCATACTAGTATATATTATATAATATAGCAAACAATAATGAACATGTATTAGTTAATAAAATAACAAAAAACCTTCATTACCAACTGTTTATTGGTAAAATTAATAATAATAATAACAAACTTTAGTCTCAAATTAAATTAATTCAACTTGTATTTTTTCTAGGTAACCCCCTAATGAACGATCTTCTTTAAGACATCTTTCCATTCATACAGTATAGCATCTTTTTTTTCTGGCCATCTCCAGAACTTAAATGTTCTAAACATGCAGTCTACTATGGGCCCCTTTTCAGACAAACTTACAATTTTTCCAGGATATTTATTTTCATTAAATAGCACTATGACAAAGTCATCAATCTTTAAATCATTTTCGTTTAATTTTACTTCATCATTGGTATTGATAATTGGTTCTTCATCTGAATTTGAGTCTAAGTCAAAGTCACTGGTTTCGTCAGAATGTATCATAATTGCATCTAGTTCATCATTAGAAGAACTTGTGGATAATTGTGGATAGTTGTCTTTTTGTTTTTATAGATTTTATGGTCTTATTGGATTTCATAGGTTTTGGATCTTCTTCATTAATTATGATTTATGACATCATGAATCTGCAACTTTTTTTTTTGGGCCAAAGTTACACAAAAGTATGGGACAATGTTTGACCAAAATGATAATGCAATATTATTCAATATTTTAACAAAGTTAGTGTTTTTAAACCACTATATCCTATTTCTATAATACATTTTGTACATAAAATTGATTTACCTAAGAATTTTAATGTTAGATGATACTTGAATAATGACAAAGTAGTCACGTACAAATTTGTTGATATTTTGATAACAGCTTTTATCAATTTCACTAAATGAAATTGTGAACGATGATTAATATACTAATCACTAAATATTGAAACCACTATTCCTACCTACAGTTTGGTACAATTTTGAAGAAATTACATAAGATAGTTCATCTGTTATGGCATAATTAAACTTTTTCTTTTTTTGGGCCAAAGTTACACATAAGGCCTAATGTTACCCCATTTGACGGTAGTTATTATATTATTAAAATAAACAATGTATATATTTTTTATTTTCACTATTTAATAAATATTATATACCTTCATTAAATATTAAAATATTTCATTTATATCAATGCTTATAATGATACATATAACATAATATTATAGATTGAGATGAGGAACGTTGTGAGCTTTTTGTGGTAAGAATAGATGCCAATAAGATTTTTAAAAGAAAATTTGAAAATTAATATATTGTGTACCAATTTTCGTATTTTATAAAACTATATTAATTACCTATCAAAACAAAACACAATTGACAATACATGGATTCAAATTAAAAAATATATATTAAATTACAGGTTAAAATAGGAAATATATGCTGAAGTAGTGGCAAAAACAGAAATTTTTTCAGGGGGCCTTATTCCCCAAAGTGTTTTTTTAGTTTAAATACCTAACCTATTAATATTTTTAAGGGGTTTCTGGGAGTATTATAAGCCTCCCCCTATTTGCGTCCTTGCCCTCATAGGAACTAATAATACCACAAATAGGTAGCTTTTGTAGTGGATTTAGGAAGTGTGTCGACTATTTCAGGAAGCTAAATAATACTCGAATAAGACCAGTATAACCTATTTAGGGGCTATTAAGATATTATCACGACCCAAACAAAACTCATTTAGGTACCAATATGACCCGTATGGGAGTTGAGTTCGGTTCGATTCCTGTTGGGAAGGTCGGAAGGACTGTCGGAACTCGGACATTTGGAAGTCTATGGACCGTCTTAAGACCTTCCCGTACAGTCTATGACTGGAATAGGAAATTCCTGTTGATGGTCTGTGGGTCACAAAAGACCGTCCATAGACCTTCCTGGGAGGATATTTTGGCTATTAGGGCCGTGGTATATACTGTTATACTTAAGTGTGAGCGTGTATGTGTATATATACTAGAAGAATTTCACTTCGTTTTTAAAAATTTTGTAATGCTTAGGAAAATATAATGTACCTACCACGAATTATTTTACTTATCAATATAAAATACTATACATAATTATTTCAGTTATTTTACATAAAAGAAAAAAAAATTACATGTCAAAATTATTGTGTAAAATTTACGAATTTTAATTATCTGACACGCAAAACTTTTATTATTTTATAATTTTTTTGATGCAATATTTTCAACAAAAGTTAAATTAAATTTCAAATTAAGCGCTCAGTATACAGATTAAAAAGCAACAAAAGGCACGCATGTGCTATATATATGTTACCGTCAATGTCGTAAATTCAGGTAATGATGATATTGACTAGCCAATTAATATAATGCCTTGGTAACTTGGTCGTTATCTATAATCAACATATATTTGTAACATTGATTTGATAAATCAGACGATGTTATAATTTGATAGATTCACTCCCACATAGCAAATTGAATATATTAATATTTTCAAAATATTTTCAGAAGGTGTCCCGTCAAATATTTTAGTGCAAATATTGTTGAATTAGCTTCAAAATATTTGGTCACCAATTATTTGAAATCAAATATTATTAAAACCTTTTCAAAACAATTTGTATCAAATATTATAATATTATTTTTCATCAAATATCTTCAAAATATACGGTCATCATATTATACTTGAAAGCTCACAATTAATATCTCCATTTATCGTATTCATATTTGATGTTTTTATAAACAATAGACATAATTATTAGACATACATGAGTACATGACATACTAGTACTAGACATCCTTATAACTTCGCGGCTGTCCCTTGCCAAAATGTGGTTTTTCCTCTTATACCATTTTAGTGGTTGAATTTTAAAAAATCCTTTCTCGGCGGATGCCTACGTCATAATATAAGGCAGATGTACCTACACCAAATTTTAGCTGGTCCATCTAGTGGTTTGAGTTAATCGGTCACTGGTCAGTCAGTTATAGTCAGTCACGTTTTATTTTAAATATATTATATAATTATTATAACATTTACTATTTACAACGAATATAATAAACTGAGCCAATATGTTTGTGCGAGGTTCAAGAATTTCTGAGCATATTATACCTATATCAATTTTGGAATATTTCACATAACAAAAATATGATTATCAATACAACATTTAAATACTATATTACGCTGTTCATCAACTTCATTATGTAACGAAGTCTATTTATAAATCTTCGTTTAATGTATTTAATAGTTTTCACCTGAACTTAAAAAAATTAATACCTTTATAATATATACCCAGCAAACATGTCAATGTTTATTAGATATCACTTGTTAGATCGAAATATATCGGTTTTTAATGTGTAATAGATTATATTATTTTTACGTTCCAAAATAAGTCTAAAAGAGACAATTATTTAAATTCTAAATGAATATTGTTAATAATATATACATCTTTATAAGACTGTATTTTATTGGTATACAAACTAGCATTTGAGATGTATAGAATGAATCTATTATTTGTATAAAATGATACATGAATAATTAATATAGCCATATATAGGTTATTAAATATATAGTATCATACTATAATTTTAATGTTTACCATTAATGAGTAATAAGTCCACTTATTTACTATTAAAAATATTGGGGTAATGGTACCTATACACATTTACTGCAGTTGGATAGACATTATAATAAATGTAATTTAATTTGTATTCAAAAACAAAAGTTATTACACTAAATTAATTAATTTTAATAGGCATAAATAAATAATTGACAATACATATATATATATAGGTACCCAAACACAATATATAATACACCCGAGCCCCCCCCCCCTCTAGAGATATGACCATGATGTACATAACACTAAACATTCTAGTGTCGAAATTACAACAAATTATACCGATCAACTAATACACATCTAACGCTTTACTAATAACTAATAAGTGAATGCCAAAAATAATGTACATTGTAAAAATGAAATGTTTGTATATAATATTATGTATGTTAGATTTTTATAAATTGAAAAAAAAAGACTATTGTAGGTGTATGTATATTGTTCTGCGTATTATTAAACATATATAATAAATAATGGAGCTATATAATCAAGATATATAGGCATATATAGGTATTTACATAAATATATTATTATTGCATTAATAAACATTTGCATGTTACTTATTAAATGTAGGGTATATTTATTATAAAATCCAGTATAATAACATCATATAGTATTAAGTATTAATGGTGAGTTTAATGGTATTTTATTATTATAATATATGTTTGAGTAAATTTATTTAAATCACACTACAGAATAGTGTATACGTTAATCAATATACATTATTAAATGTAAATTATAATATTATACAGTTAATGTAAAAAAAAAAAATAGCTGTGTAGCTACCTGTATATAATTTATATCATTGATATTGTTTATTAATTTAATTTAATTCTTATAATAGTTTCACAATTTGTGTGCTTAGTTAAATATTGAATGACCAATATAGGCTACTCATATAGTAGCTAACTTACCTATCAACACGTCCATGAACTTGGCCCACCATCATATTAATATCAATCTGAAAATGGTATTAAAATTTTGCGAGTAATTTGCGAGAATTTGCGAGTATACTCCTAGAATTTGCGAGTCACTTTTACACATCTCAATGGCGAGTGGGCCAACTTCATGTAGCCCACCCACTTCACCCGATTTTCACCAAACCTGTGTCCAAAGCTTCGTTTTGATTTGCGAGAATTTGCGAGGGCGGTCCCCGAATTTGCGAGTGGCCCAAAGCTGAGATACGAGCTTTCAAAGTTCTGAAGTTGGCCCACCCACTTCACCCGATTTTCACCAAACCGGTGTCCAAAGCTTCGTTTTGATTTGCGAGAATTTGCGAGGGCGGTCCCCGAATTTGCGAGTGGCCCAAAGCTGAGATACGAGCTTTCAAAGTTCTGAAGTTGGCCCACCCACTTCACCCGATTTTCACCAAACCGGTGTCCAAAGCTTCGTTTTGATTTGCGAGAATTTGCGAGGGCGGTCCCCGAATTTGCGAGTGGCCCAAAGCTGAGATACGAGCTTTCAAAGTTCTCAAAGTATTCGTATTTAAAGTCAATTACTTATTTTCAATTATTTATTTTTATTTCGTTTAACTATGTTATATTATAAATTGTTCAATTTATTTGAATAAATAAAGTTGGTTCTTTAAATAATGACACTTACATGTACGTTCTGGTAAATATGTCTGAAATGAGCTTTAAATGTCCAAAGCTTTGTTTTGATTTGCGAGGGCGGTCCCCGAATTTGCGAGTGGAACAAAGTGGTACACTCCCGAAATTTGCAAGTCAAAATTCCAACCCTTACGATTTTTCAAAGTTTTTAACCCCAGCCCTGACTTGTTGTCAGAAACTTTCAAAACTAGTGTCAAAACCCTCGTTTTAATAAGCAAGAATTTGCAAGTCAAGTTATAGAATTTGCAAGTTACTCAGAAAGCCAGTAAGAGCTTTAACAGTGTGGAAGTTAGCCCACCAAGGTTGACCCAGAACTTCAATATAGGTATCAAACAAAAGCTAATGATTAGCAAGTTCATTTTTAGATTTTGCAAGTAATTTGAGCGGCCAGTAAGAGTTGTCAAAGTTACGAAGTTGGCCCACCCAAGTTGCCCTAAAACATTGAAAATCGTACCGAACTATAGATTTTAATTTGCAAGTATTTGGGAGTCCAAAATTAAAGTTTGCAAGTCATTCAGATGGTCGCTATGAAGTGCCCGCTTACTTTTGAAGTTTTCGGGGTGTTTGGAAGTTGGCCAACCGATTTAACCCGATCTACTACAAACCTATTCTAATAATTGGTGTCCTAACCGGTGTCCAAAGCTTCGTTTTGATTTGCGAGGGTGGTCTCCGAATTTGGGAATTGATTGTAGTTTGTACTTTGTACTGTTTGTAGACTATACACTATATAGCTGAGCGATACCGAGTACTATCCAAAAATGTTCAAACGAAATTATTGAGAGTTAAAAATATTTTATAATTAAACGGTCTTATTTCCCCGTCATGGTTATAATATTATTACGTTATTACTAGGTATTATAGTTATTCGTTGTGACTACCAAAGATAAGATATTTAGAAGAGTTGATATGGGTATCGCGTAGGTATTACTGTACTAGTGGTACTACCCACTAGGCCATTAGGGTATTCTTGAATGCGTATTTGCGTCAACTGTATGTTATTTGTTTCCACGTTATTAAATATATTAATTTATTGCAATTCGTAGTATTGTGAGACTGCGAGTGGCGACTGGTGACAACGGTCATTAAGACAGTGTGGTCACGTAAATGTTACAATATTATTATTCTAATTTATTTTGTATTTTGATAATTATTGTGTATGATTTTATTATTTTAAAATATATATTATAATATGTTTATTGCTCGTGTGTGTGAGGCGAACCGATGACGGGAAATATTGTTTTATTTATATTTTTATCAATTATTATAGTATTATACATTTATACCATATACCACCGTCGGCCGTCGAGTCGGTCTCTAGTCTATGCACCCATGCCGCTGGACAGGTCCGTGCCTGTATTATTTTTAAATGGTTCAATATACATATGTTTTCATTATCATTATCAGTTATTACGATACGAACGTTTTATAATTATATCCATTAATTTGCAGAACGCTGTTTAGTGAGACAGACGTCAGTGTTAAACCGTTAGGCATTTTTTGATTGCACTTAGACGTTGGTGTTATAATTACATAGTTATTTATAAAATGGAGACTAATAAGGTAAGTTATTTACTATAATCTAAGTATCAACCTTAGCAATAGGCATGTTACATTTTCAGATTTTAGTTAGTTTATTTAAAATTATTGTTGATCAAAATATACTGACATATTATATTCAGATTATCAAGGCTGGGCATTAACGAGTTAAAAAGTTAAAGTTAAGTTAAAAAGTTAAGTTATTTTTAACTAAGATACTTAACGAATTACTTTTTTTCTAAGAAGTAACTTCTATCTTAACGAATTACTTTTTTTTTAAGTAACTTCTAACTTAACGCGTTAATTTATTTTATAGTCACGTTAAGTATTTTTTTTCTCTGTACGAACCCCAAATATTAATTATAGAATTTTGTGTAGTAAAAAAAAAAAAAATTATAATAACAATAATTATTATGTTAAGAGGACGTGTCACCCAAAAAAATCACTCGAAAAATTCCTTTAAAAACATGTTTGTGCGTTCCAATAACATGGGTTACTGAGTGGTTTTATCATAAAAACACTTATGAACAAAATTGTAGAGGAGAATTTTATCTGGTTCCGTAAGAGTTTCAAAATTAGCCCAATAGATGTTTCATACGGAAAGAAAAATTTCAAAAAAATGTACACAGTTTTGAAACAAGGGGTATGGACCAACATTATTAATGACTGGTTCATAAAAAGTTGTAGCATTTCCTGTAACATAATTTATAAAAGATGTCGGGTAGCAAATGATGTAAATAAGGCAAAACATTTCATTGACTTTTCAGGAAAATGTAAAGATTGTTTGGCGGTAGTAGTAGGCTGGGCAGAAAAAAGGCCTGATGAAGGTAAGCCACTAGTTGTAAAAATAATGATAGAAGGTATGGACATGCTGCATGAACATACTTCAAAAAGGCCTCTTAATGGAGCAAAACGTCAAGAAGTAGGCATGCAGCTGTCTCATGATAGTGCCAGTAATTGGAGGCGACAGGCGGTAACATCAATGACTTTTGGTGAAAAAATACCATCAAATATATATAAAAATACAGTATTGTGGAAATGCAAGCAATCCGAAAAAGACAAAATACTAGGCATAACACTAATATTTAATACAGTATGACACTCATAACGCCGTCAATGAACAGTTCTGTACCTATATTACACTACATATAGGTAGTTGCAGAATTTATCTGTTTAAATAAATATTAAACCACCAATATAGGCTATACTTGTATAGGGACTTAATAACTTCCCTATCCAGTAATATTTATATAATATATAGTAGGTATCTGCACTTTGTAGCAGTACTTACAGACTGATATTAATGTTGTCGATGAACAGTGATGTATCCTATATAGTGTATTACATATTAACATTATATATAGTTGTATAATTTGTGTGCTTAATTAAATATATAATCGCCAATATAATATACTGATTAGGCTACTCAGAGTAGCTACCTATGCCTATTTAATTACCTCAAATATATCATAAAAAGTATTGTAATATACTATCTGTAAGAGTATTCGAACGCTGTCAATAAAATTTGACTTGCAAATGTATACTTGCCTCAGACTTCTGCTCGTAAATACTCAGCAGTTTCTCCCACATTTCCAATGCAGTCTCACAGTTAATCAAATATTGTAATGGACCATCGTCCACTGAGGTAACTATTATTTTCTGACATTTACCGTCCGCTTTTTGCCAAGCGCTAGTATGCCTTTGCCAACGTGCTTTGGCTTCCTCGTCGGTCTCTCCTGCCGACTTTTTTATAGGTAGACTTGGTTTCGTCCATTCGCCTGAAACTATCTCACCTACTTCCAAGGCATTTAAAATGACCTTCACCTGGAACTTCCATAACGACCAGTTTTCCGCACATAATTTTGTTATCTTCACCGTGTCTTCCATGACCGATGGATTCCCGTATACTTTCCTGTATAACAATTCATAACAAAACTTTACCTATGTACACTGTTCCGCCGTTTTCCGAAATCCAGGATATCTCCGACTGGTTGTAGTTTTCTGCGTTAATACAAATATAAAAATACTTCGATCACGAATCCACTAGACTGTATGTCTTGGTTATTGACTGGGCCCATAACCTGTTGAAGGTGAAGCTTGACGGACTAATGATGTTAGCATTAATATAATAAGTAATAACACGACAATATGATTATGTATAAGTATAATATATAATAACGTACAACTGGACAATTAAACTGTGACAGTACACACACATCGTATACGCTCTGTACAACGACGCCTGTGCAAGTGAATATTACATACATCAAAGGCCCTATATATATGCACGACCGAGGTCATGTTACATCCGTAAAGAGAGTGAGTCTTATGCTCGTACATAACTAGTTACTGTATTGTACACACGTGTCAAGGCTGACTACATAATATACTACATATTAATTGTATATTTCAACAATAATATTTACATTAAGTATAAACAATCAGGAGCGTAGCTAGGATTTCTTTTATAATGTGTTTTAAATTTGATATTAAAATAATACCTTATGTTACTTATAGTATACCTACCTATAATATTATTATAAGTTTATTATAGTCTAGTATTTCATTTTTTAGTTGTAGTGGTTAATGATTTTGTTATTAAATAACAAGATGTGGGCAATATTTCAAATACCCACCTATAATTGTATCTTGTATTTAGTTTTTACTGGGTGTTCTTCTTAAGTATTTTGTATATTGTATTTAAATACTATTTTTATTTAATGTAATTAGGATTTTAAGTAGGTAACAAAATAATTAAAGTAAATACTTAATATTTTTTACACCAGTCGACTGTGAAATTACAATCAATGTAAATAGATGCAGACTGTTACTGTCACTTCGGGGTCGATGATCGCCCACCTTGTCGTGGTGACCCCGCCCGACCGGGCTTACGCCCGGCGCTAAGAGGCGTTCAAAACTGTCCGGAGTAGGCCGACTCCGGACTTCTAACCCTTGGCATGGATAATGCAACCGCCGATCTAGCCCGCCGGCGGCCAGAGGGTGTAGGGCTACACAGGGCAACCCCCCGAAACCCTAACAACTATGGATACACAACAAAACGAAAAAGATGTTACTGATACAAAGGCCCAGGAAACCTTAGATCCGGCAGATGTGGGTGAGCTCGCCACACAGGTCGTTATCAATAGCTCGGATAATGCGCAAACGAATACGGAAATGGCATACTTGGATTATAAAGGAAAAACGGACATGAATAACGGACATTGCTACTCAGACTTAGGGGAGGTGGCGACGAAGACGACGATAACGAAAACGTCGTCGACATGACAGATGCCGAAGGCAACAGTGGTGACATGGTCCCGGCAGGTGGCAGCCAGAAGCGCGGCCCGCCATCGCCGGTTGCGCAAAGCTCAAAGCAACCAAGAACGGTATACAGGGTAACGGACCATAGAGAACTTAACGACCTCTTAGGATGGCTTGAACAGACGGTCATACAAGAGAAAGGGAAGAAGTTGGGAGTCCAGGTCTCGGAGAAAATGTTGAGCAAGCTGGCAAGGCTCAGAGTTGTCACGACCGGCCTCACATACGATAATAGCAAATTACAAGGGGAACTCAAGGGTAAAGAGGATACCCAGAGGATGAGCCTCACGTGCTTTATCGACAAGCTCGATGCAAAGAACGCGGAAGCTAACAGCCTGAAGGCGGAGCTGGATACGCTAAGAAAGGCAGGGCCGGCGCCTAGCAAAGAACCCGTCCCTAGGCCCACATATGCCGATAAAGCTGCGAGCGCACCGAAAGCCACGGTCGCTACCGCACCCAAGACCATAAAGGCAAAAGAGAAAGAGCAGCTAAAGAAAAGCAGGAAGGTCAAAGCAACGTCGCGCTTCATGGTAGAAATACCAAAGGACATGACCGTGGCAACTGCGAAAGCAGGATTGTGGGAAACAGTCAGGACTAAAATTAAAAACCCTAGGGCGAAGACCATCGTAAGTGGAAAGTCCTTGATCATTATACCGGATGACGTTAACACGTTGGAGGTGATGAAGGACCTCAAACAAGCAATAGAAATCAGTCCGAGGAAGCCGCGGCTCATACTATATGACGTAGAAAGCGGGATAACAGGCGAAGAGTTAGCCGAGTGTCTCCTGGGTCAAAACCCTGAACTTGGACTCACTGCTGAAGACGTGGGGTGCATGACACCATTGCACAAACTGGGACCCCGAGACGGTCATGTTGTCCATTGGGTGATCGAAGCACCAGCAAATGTTGTGTCGAAATTGGAAAATAGGTCCATATATATAGGAATGACCCGCTGTCGGTGTAAGGTACACAGCTCTACCCCGCAGTGCTATAATTGTCAGCAATATGGCCATACGTCGCTGAGGTGCGAACAGAAGGAACCCACATGCAGACACTGTGCAGGCGCTCATGACTCCCGCGAGTGCAAAAACGAAGTGGTGAAGTGCGCGAATTGCAAAGGGCCGCACAAAGCGTCGAGTGCGACATGCAGGGCCAAGACGCAGGCAGCACGTAGCCTCTTAAGGCGTACGGACTTTGGCCAGCAATGACTGAGTCAATCCGTATAGTACAGCACAACCTTAATAAACAAAAGATTGCGAGTCAGCAGCTGGCTGACTTCTGTAAAACAAACAGAGCTGACCTGGTATTACTGCAGGAACCTATAGTGTCGCAGGGAAAAATCGTTGGATTCGAGATGTACAGGCAGGTGCATTCAGGCAATAAGGCCGGAGCCGCCATTGTAATTATGAACAAAAATATACTGGTGCTCAGCCTAGAACAGTTCAAAACCGAGTACACTGTAGCTGTTAGCATAGGAACAAGAGAGCAGGCGATCATAGTTGTCTCATCTTATTTCAAGTATTCACTGCCCACAAATGACTTCATCGAGCAACTAAGGCCGATACTAGACAGAGAAGAAAACACAATAGTCGGGGCGGATGTGAATGGCCATTCAACCCTATGGCACTCCTCGGAGAGCAACGAAAGAGGACGACAAGTCGAAAATCTCGTAGAGGACTATTTGCTCCACATAATGAACGTAGAAGGAACGTTAAATACCTATGATCGACCTGGAATGGGATCATCAAATATCGATGTGACTTTGATAACAAGAGGCATGATTGGCCAAGTGACGAACTGGTCTGTCACCGATGCCACGGACAGCGACCACCGTGTGATCAGCTTCGAAGCTATAATGGCGAGGCCATGCCCTGAGCCTGGCAATACAAGGTACCGAACAGACAAGGCTGACTGGGCCAAAATGACAGCACACTTGGCGAGCCACGTTGGGGACATCGATGAGCGGACCGTAGATAGTCACGCAAATGGTTTGGTAATGCTGCTGAAGGCCGTGGCAGATTTATCCATTCCACGTACAAGGACAGCTGGCCGATCACCAGGAAGACAACCATGGTGGAGTCCTGAACTTACCGCACTCAAAAAGTTGCTAGAAAGATCTCGAAGGCTCGGACAGAGGGACAATGAACCAGAGACTTACAGAGCGCACCGAAATAGATATCTTGCGGAGATCAGAAAAGCAAAGGTGGCGACATGGCGAGCACTGGCAGGAGACCTAAATGTGAACCCATGGGGCAAAGCCTTCAGGTGGGCGAAGAGAAAAGGTGCTCCGCCAAGTACAGTACAAGGTAACCTGCGGAGGGCAGATGGCTCATATACGGAAAGCGTTGAACAAACAGCTGAATTACTGCTAAGGGCATTCGTCCCAGATGAAACGAACGGTGGCAGTTTTAACCACCATGGGCCCCTTGATGACGGTGTGGAATCACCCTCGGCCTCCGAGGTCAAAGCCTCAATATGGCGGATTAAGCCAAGTAAAGCGCCCGGGTTGGATGGACTCACTGCCAAAATAGTGAGAAAGGCCTGGCCAGTAATCGAGACAACTTTAACCAGACTTTATGGTGCAGCACTAAGGGAAAGTTACTTCCCCCTTAGCTGGCGAAGGGCCAACGTCATCGTGATCCCCAAAGGTGGGGACAAAGATCCGGCGACTACGGGAGCCTACAGACCGATAAGCCTGCTACCGGTTCTGGGAAAAGCTCTAGAAACTTTCCTGATCAAGAAAATTGAAAATGAGACGAGCCTGAATCGCATAGGTGAACAACATGGCTTTGTACAAGATAAGTCCACGATCACGGCGATCAATACGCTATACAACTGGGTCCATGAGGCTAAGAGTAGGCACGTCATGGGCACGTTCCTGGACATAACAGGGGCGTTCGATAATGTAAGCTGGAGCCCGCTACTAAATCAGATGGTGAACATTGGAGCTTCACCAAGTACGACCAGAATGACTGAGTCATATCTAGGAAATAGATGGGCACAGATAAAACTAGAAAGTAAAATGTATGAAAAGAAGATGGAGAGAGGCTGCCCTCAGGGATCGCAGCTGGGGCCTACTCTCTGGAAGGTAGCGATGTCCGAGCTACTTGCACTGCCGCAAGAGTCCAATGTCAAGATCATTGCTTATGCAGATGATATCGCCCTGCTGGTCGGGGCTGCAAGACACGACACAGTTGTGGCAAGGACGGAAAGTTATCTGGACAAGATAAAGAAATGGGCTGTTACGTATAACCTGTCCTTCTCCCCGACCAAGACCCAGGTCATGTCAATTAAGGGTGGAGTGAAGCCAGGATACCAAGTAAGATTTGGTACAGATGAGGCTGCCCCTAGAATCACAGCTGCTGGTACTGTAAGATACCTTGGGGTGATTCTGGACCCAAGAGAGGGGTACTGGAATCATGTAGAGTCGCTGGCCGAAAAGTCGAAAAGTCTGTACAGCAGGTTAAGGACCCTGGCTTCGGCGAACTGGGGCATTAGCCAACTTACGTCTAGGACACTATACAAAGGAATGTTCCTACCAAGAGTCACATACGCATCGGAAATATGGGCGCCAGGCGTAAAACTCAAGAAGTCAATTAAGAAACTTGGCAGCATGCAAAGACCACCTCTGCTAGCCATGACTGCAGCTTATAGGACAGCATCAACGAACTGTCTGTCGGTGGTAGCGGGCGTGCTACCTCTGGATCTAGAGGTAGTGAAAAGCGCTCTACAAAAACGACTGAAGAGAGGGGAAATAACCCTAGACCAATTTAAAGACCATGAAACAGAAATATTTACTGAATGGCAGGAACGATATGAATCCACGGATAAAGGGGAATGGACGAAGACTATGATTCCTAGCGTGCGGGAACGGTATATGCTGCCTATGCCGTTAGACCATTATACGACACAGATGTTGACGGGGCACGGGGACTTTAAGTCCAAATTGTTCAAGTTCAAATTAGTGGCATCGCCCAACTGTGGATGCAGGGGCGGATCAGAAACGGTGCAGCATGTACTATACCGATGCCCAAGAACGGAGAACTACCGCAAGGAACTAATAGCAATAATGGCCTCGGAACAGGAAGGCTGGCCGCCTAGTAATGGGGCGTTCCTTAAAACAAGGAAGACTTATGAAGCACTCAGGAAATTTGCAAGACAATCACTCAAGAACAGGTCCGACAGGTAATGTCCATGGTATGGACTACGGTCAGGACGCAGCCACACCAGGCGGTGTATGTGCATAGCCTCGGGGTGTCCCGAATGAGCACGCATGGTGTAAGCGGCACAAGCGGTGGGACACGCTCGAGCGCGTCCTGACCAGGGGCGTGCTCATGCGCCAAGGGCGAGGAGTCCGGCCCTGATGCTGGGGCCGTCCAGAATTCAGCATCAGTATTCCCTGCTTGTCGTAAAAGGCGACTAAAAGGGAACTGGCCAGTCGGGGCCGGCGTCTGGGACGCGGACACACCGAAACCTGCGGGGACTAGGGTGTTGGGGGTTTTGACTGCGACCCCGTGAAGAGCGAGTCGATCACCTCGGTGATGCCTCTGGGAGGCGTGGCAGAGGCTACCGAGCCTTGAACTCGGGGGTCGCGGCCAGCGCGCCAGGGCGATCGCCGCTGGTAAGGGCCCACCGTGAGCCCGAGATACACGATCCTAATCTTGGTAGAACCACAGCTGAGACCCCCGGTCGACGAAGCTCGGTCCAGACATCTCACCATTGATGTGCCTACCTAACGGGGGCGAGAATGGTACTTCGGGATGTGGGGGGGCCCCGCGGCGTCGAGATGATTGACGACGTGCCCTCACACGGCGGTCGCGCCCGGCCTCGGTCGCGGCGCGGTCGACGGCGGTTTGGTTTCGGAGTGGTTGTTAGCAGGAGCTAACCTTGTGGTTAAAAGACCAAAGCTCGGTCTAGGGGAAGGCTGCCGAGTGATGGGGCCGGGGGGACCCGTACGGCGCCAGTCGGCCGGGAAAGCACGGTCACTCCTTAGCGCTCACCCAGCCTACCGGTGGGGCTATATGCACCGGAGGTTGCCATAGGCGTGCGCAGACCTTGCTGGCAGGGAGGGCAGAATGTAATAATATACCTATAGGTATATTATATAATATATAGGTAAGTAAATATTATTTTGGTTATTAGTTCAATTAATGTAAGTGATGGAAGTATTTTCATTTTATGTATCATTAAAACTACAAATAACTACAAATTTAATATAGTAATTGAAACTCCAAAGTTTTTTTATATTATATTAATATACATGAACAAAGAAAATTATTACATTCATACAGTGGTGGATCCAGGGGGATGGAAAAGGGGGCATTTGCCCCCCCCCCCCCCAATAACCGTAGTTTTCCTTTGTTTTACACTGTGTTTAGCCAATTTTGGAACTTTCATATACTTTTGAGCCCCCCATGCCCCTCCCAAAATTAAGCCCTGGATCCGCCACTGCATTCATATATATTTTTATGCCCGATGTGTTGGTGAAATCTGAATTTACTAATTCTACTTACTATTTATTTACAATTACAAAAAAAGTAAGTAAGATAGGTAAATTATTATTTGCACCAACACGTTGAACATATAAATATCAACATTTAAAAAAAAATGTAAATCCTTAGTATGATTTTTCCAAAAATAGTACCACTATTATATCATGCATTAATGTATCAATAATATTCTATTCTTTGGTAATATTGAAATTTATACATTATTGTAGGCATGTAACCTATTATTTAAACTGTTTTATAAATTATACTTTATAGGTATATAATAAACAATTTGATTTGTAGGTTACAGTATAAATAGAAAATTAATTTCAATATAAAACACCACATTAAAAAAAAGATAGGTATATTCTGATTTAATCAACACGTTGAGCATAAAAATACTAAAATACTAAAAATTCCGAAAATTGCTTCGGAAGTAAAGAGCTATAATATTTGTTCGTATACTGCATACTAATTATTATAATTATTAATTACTAATTATTTAAAGAACCGACCTTCTTAGCGCTTCCGGTGAACGTTTTTCGCATTAAATACCGTCAAATTACTACTCACTTTCATGTCTCATCACATCTCAATCTACATCATGCTATAATAAGATTATAAGCACTCGTTATCACCGCGGTATCGCTTGTGGTTCGCTTAAAGTTGGACAACATAAAATCATCGTGCACTGTACATCGAGCACTCAATGTTTACATAATATTCATTATATAAAACTGTATTATAATATTTTTTTAAAAACTTTGTTATTTTGTAAGAAAACTTGAGCCCGCAGGAGGGGCAGCTGCCCACCCTGCCCCTCCCGTGCGCACGCCTATGGAGGTTGCCCGTGACCAAAAACGGGAAGCAATGAGGATAGCTTGCGACCCGACCAGGGTGGCGAAGGGCACGTGCACGCCTCAGCCAACGGTACGGGCGCACTCTCTCCAACTTCGGTGGGAACGGGTGTGCGCCCGGTGCTCGTGGTCCATAGACGACGCGCGGCCGGTGGTTGGTGGGTAACTCCACCGTACGCCGACCGTGAACCTCCACGGCTCTCGACTAGCGCACAGCGCTAATGTGAGGTCCGCGGTTGTAGCCGAAAGGCATCAAACCCGGGAGTCTTCGTGTTACTGTCACTTATTGGATATGTATTATATAATAATTCTATTTCTATAGTTAAATTTTTTTATAAACATTTTTAATATTTTGTATTTTGTATTTACCTACTTATTTAAATTTAGCATTATTTTCTGTACATTGTTTAGTTAAAATATAAACTATAGGTAAGATAACACTTTATGTAGGTATTTACTATTTAGTATTTAAATATAATTTTAAATGTATTAAATCTGTATTACTCTGTAAGTAGTATATACAAAATACCTCTAATTATTAACTTTAAAATTTTATTGAACTATATTATATAATATATTCGGTTGGAATTATGTATTTTTAATTTAAACTACATTTTACAATTTAACCTATTTGAATGTATATTATAATGTAGCTTTATACATTAGGTATCAGATTTTTATACAATAATAAATATGAATAATCCTATTGTTATACATAAACTATTGTAATGTAGTTAAAATTACACTTATACACTTTAACTAGAAAAAAGGAAAAATAATTTTTTCAGTTGAAAATGTTTAATTCGTCAAGCTACAGAACAAAACGCAGACGAATCAACAATGAATTGCTTGCTTTAGAAAGTTCTGATGATGATGGTAATGAATTGAGTACACAAAATGTGACTGATACTTTTGTTTTGAATTCCATTGAACCTTCAAAAATTAGTCATAATAACTTTCAACAACAACCTCTTATACCTGCTTGGGAGGAAAACATTTTGGAAGTCATTGGATCAACCCAATCCACACTTAATAATTCTATTGAAAATACAAATTCTAAACTACTAGGTGATGTTAATGAAAGTCTTAGGAAGTGGGCTACAGATTTCAATATTCCACAAAACGCTCTTAATGCTCTGCTTAAAGTGCTTAAATATGATGCTGGTCTTTCGTTTTTACCAAAAGATTCTCGTACATTACTTCAGTGTAAATCTACGAAAATAACAAATTTAAGAAATGTAGAGCCAGAAGATTTTTACTATCATTTTGGTTTAAGTGCTGGTATAATAAAATATTCATCTATTCTGTCTTTGCCTGATGTTATTAAACTAGCTGTGGGAGTTGACGGATTGCCTTTATCGAAAAGCAGTTCAAGCCAATTTTGGCCCATATTGGCTTACATAGTTCCTCATCATGAACATGTATTTTCTGTTGGAATATATCACGGTCATCAGGAACCACAGAATAGTGATGACTTTTTAAAAGATTTTGTTTCAGAAGCATATAAAGAAAAATGTTGTAATAGAAGTGATATGTTGTGATGCACCTGCGAAGGCCTTCCTCATGAAAGTTAAAAGTCATTCAGGGTTTTCTTCTTGTACGCGCTGTACAATTGAAGGTGAATATCAACCAAGCCGTGTTTGTTTTCCTTACTTAGAAAATGGAAGCACTATTAGAACGCATGATGACTATAAACAAATGAAACATGAAGAACATCATACATCCATTACAATTTCAAGTATTTGTTCAATTTTAAATGTAGATATAGTTCAATCATTTTCAATGGATTATATGCATTTAGTGTGCCTACCCTATGTGCAAAATATAATCTCCGAGACTTCACATTGACATCTCATTAGGCAGTGAGACGTACAAGCTTAAAGCCTATAGATGTCTCAGAGAATCTAATATGACGCTTAATGTCCAGACACGGGAAGTTACTGCATGCGATATCGCAAAACAATAGTCTATGTGTCGTCACATTGTAACTCCCATAGGCTATCATGTTGAAATACATGGGACTACCTAGTTTTATTGCATTGACTTCGCATAGAGTGCACAAGGTTATAATATCCAGGAAAAAAAAAAACTGTTTTGATATATTTTTTTCACGAACGTCAGATTCGAACCCATAACCCCTATACCTAATTGACCTACGCCTAACCTACCGGGACACACTATTGGGACACAAAATCCGTGGATATTTAGTCTATTAAAACTATGAACAGTTGTTTGGTTGTTTAAATACTTAGACAATAAATGTGTATATTATATTTACATTTACAGTTATTTATATATAATATATATAATATATAATATATATATATTAACAACAAATTGTGTTATAATATCATAATATTATATTATACATTTATACTAACTGATCCCGTGCACTTCGTTGCTTGTTAAATGTACCAACTCTATATGACTCAAATTTTGTTCAATTCGTTATTTAATATTCGGTGTATGGTGTTCAAAATGTATCTTAACTTTTCCGTTGACCGGAATAAAAATTCTGATTTACAGCAGTATATTACAGGTATGCAAATGCAATCTACCTGCTGTTAGTTTCGTAAAAACCTTCTCCTGGCAATTACGTAGATCTTATAAAAAATTTGAGCCAAATCGGACCAGCCGCTCTCGATTGATGACATTTTCAAAAAAAATATATCACACATAGTTTATAGGTAGAGATAGTATACAATAAAAATTGATTATCAAAAAATCAAAAATATATTTGACTGTATGATAATAGCCAAATAATTAATTTAAATGTTTTTTAAATTTAGTACCTATATAACAAATTTAAGTTAATATTAAAGGTACTTAATGAAATTAAGTATATAACAAAGAATATAGTATTAAGTATACAACAAGAATATTTATTTATTTGAGAACATGATTGCATTATACTATATTATACTGTATTATATTATCAATATATAGCTGGTATTACATAGGTATTTTACATAGGTAATGTTTAAATGTTATAACATAAAATAACAAATACAATTTACAAATATATACTAATTACTAACCATCATTGATGTTGATGATTATGATTTTCTTTATAAACTTATAAGACTACCTACTCTGTTGTAGTTTTGCTATGTAGTAATGCTATTGCTACATATTTATTTTTATCTATTGGCACTGTGAGGCATTTATATTTTAAACAATCTAAATTAATTAATTGGGGTTGAGGTTCAGGGATAATGACATCAATGTAAAATATTTTTATTAAATCTGATGATATTGGATTGTCAAAAAATGACGAACATTTAAATTTGATTACTTCAATTTTTATCTCACCATTAAAATATTTTATGATTTTATTTACTTTAATTATATCATAATTTTGAATAATAAAATACTTATCTTTCACATGTTTTGAACTCACAATAAATTGTTCTAAAACAATTTGCTCGTATAAAATATCAGTTATTGAATTATTTAATATTTTATCATATGGTAATTCATGTTTAAGGATAGGGTAACTAAAAGTGATATTGTTAGTTTTAGCATTGATTTGTTCTATAATGCGATTATAAACATCTTGTAGAGGATATCTAGAATTTTTACTACTTTTTTTTATAAACTGTAAATAATTTTCAAATTTGAATGCACTGAATGCATCTAAGGCGCCATGAATTAAAACAAAATCGCATACATGTATTAAACCATGAACATTGTAACCAACATATTCTTCACCGTAATGTGAAGAATATTCAGTTACAAACTGCTTCAATAAATCTCTTGCTACATTATTATATGCATGACAAGTTTCAGGAGAAATTAGTAATCTTACGGCACAACTCAAAAGCATAAAATGTTTATAAAGTGATTTTCTTAATCGGCATTTTAATACAATTGGGCCTATATAAAGAAAAAAATTTCTGAATTCTGTTGCTTTCCAATATTCTACTTCTTCTAATGTTCTGGATATACGTTTAAACTCGGATGGTAAATATGATTTAATATTATCTAATTCATGAGATATGTCATCAGGATTTACTAACCTCACAGGTTTTTTACCTTTAGTCCAAAAAACAATTAATTTTTTCATCACCCCAAGACAAATGTTATGCATATATTCAAGAACTACAGAAGAAGTAATATTTATGGGCAATTCTTCCAGCGGACTTGAATCTTTATGATAGAACTCATCGCATTTATTTCGAAATGTTTCATTCGTTCTTAATGGTGCATTAATGTCTAGAAAAGCCATTCGATTATTTAAAAATGTTCCTTCTACTATACATGAATTACATCCATGATATGCATTGAAATTTTTAACATTCAATACAAAACTCTTTGCAGGAGCATCACACACAATTTGAGACACTTCAAATTTGAATATCTTATTGTTAATAGATAAACCGTTATTTAAAATTGTATTCATTTCAGTTATAAATGGATTCAAAAACTCATGGCTGGAAGAAGGTTTTTTAAATTTACCATGATAAATCCCTACTGGTATTACAGTGTTTAACAACTTTGGTAAATTTATAAAAGATATAAGTATAGGCCAAAACTAGATTTTGAGCTGGAAGTTAAGGGTAAGCCATCAATATTAACACTTAATTGTATTGTAATATTGTTATCAATATCACAAAGATATAAAGACAAAATTTTAGAAATCATATACTCAACACCAAGATGTATATATGAGCCTGGATGAATACTAATAATTTTGTGATCACCCGTTTTAGGAGTGTTAATAAGAGTTCTTGCATCTTTTGGAAGTTTTAATCCTTCCGATCTTAGTATTGACAAAAGGGCATTTACACAATTATGAGAGACATGAAAATCTAACACCCATTTTTGTAACTTTTCATACAGAGAATTACTATTATCATTAATCAAAGTAGTATGATCAATAATTGTGTTACTGTTCATTCCATTATTCATCCAAGAAGTGGCTGAAAGATTAACTGAAGGCGCTGTAGATGAGGTAGTTGGTGTTAAAAACATATTTGATTCACATTGATTTACTTTTATTGATGAACTTGAACCAAAATAGACTAAATTATTACAAATTAATATGTATACCTAATTTGGGTATTTACAAAATAAAAAATAAAAGATAAATATGATTAATTTTTATTTTTTTCTAGGCTGTAACGTTGCGATCCATGCCGAAACCAATCTTTGACATGTGCTTCGAAGTTGGATTCAGTTGAAGAAAATGTGTTCATAGCTATGCCTGAATAAAAATAACAAAAATAGGTATTAATACATGTAATAGATAGGTACTGCAGATTTAAATGAAAAAAAAAATTATAAAATAAAAACTACCTTTCATTATTTGAATAGTCTTGAGTGTTTGAAGTTGAGCATGTTGTCTGAAGCCGGTCCAGGAATATTTAGTAGCTAACTCATTTGTAAAAAATCTTTGCAATGATCTCTTGATGAAATTTTTAGAGCTTGTACCGCCAATTCTTTGTATCACAGTTCGCTACAAAAATATTTAAAAACTATTTAATTTTGTAAAATAACAGATATAAATATTTTGTTTAATTTAATTTAATTGACAGTAAATTACCATTTGGTTTTCAAAATTCTCATCTGTAGTAAATTTTCTTTCTATTTCTTCGACATCAAAAACGGTTTTCATAGGAATTAGAGTCCAAATATATTCATCAATAGCTGTATTACCCATACGACCTGTGCCACTTAATAATGCTTCTATTCCTTCTAATTTACCTTCAATTCTTTTCACATATGCAAGGGTTGTAATTATGTTTTCATACATAATTGTACTAATTTCATCTTGATTTTTTGAGACATTTAATTCATGATTTGGCAAAGATGAACTTGATTTTTCTCCAACAGAATTAATATTCGATAAATCATTATTCATAGACATTACAGTATGTATAGAAGTGGGAATCACTATGAACATACATAAATATCTGCATAAAGAAAAAAAATGTTTTAATTATACTAAATAATTACTTGACGATTGAGTCACAAGTTCAGAACTGAAGTCCTGTCCATCCAAATCAAACATCACATTTAATGCAGCTGTAATAGAAATAATGTAAGTCACAAACTATTGTTATTTAATAATTTAAATTAATGATTAAATACCCTATTAAATACATACAAGATATTGAGTTAATTCCTTTACCATCAGACTCATCTTCGGCAGCTGTATCTAAATTTTTAATATTTTTTCTATTTTTTGTGTTAGTTAAAGTCATAGACGATGATGATTCATTTTTCATTATTTTTAATGGTGTTTCTTGAGTGCTGCTGCATGCTAAATTCATAACAAAAATACATGCATTTCAAAAAACCAGATTTAATCATAACTGATTTGCAATATTTAACACAGGTTTGTACCATCACAGGACACCCCTTAAGTGGTACAAAAATTTTCATTAATTTGAAAATATACTAAGTATATTTAAAGATTCCAAAAATCAGATTTGGAATAACTCTATTATTAAGGAATAAAGGGGGGAGCATGATTGGGTAATTACCCTGTACAAGAGGTTTAATTATCTTACTATCACTATCTTCATGTACTTCAGGAACATATTTTTTCCTCTTTTTTTTAATTGTTTTCACATGAATTTCTGATTCAGATGCGGATGATGCTGATATGAAAATGTTCTTTGCTTTAGTTGCAGCTTCATCATAATTGGCTAATTTTTAAATAAAATAGGTAGTTATTAATTTAAATAATATTATGAAAAACAATTTGAATAAAAATTAATAATTACACATATACCTAAATCAGTATGCTATATTAAATCTTAATTACCTAGGTTAAAGCTCTAAGGTAAATATAAAACTTATTATATTTAGGTACTTACAAAAATATTCTGAAACAATTTTAACGGGGTACGTAGGCCAATCAATTCCAGGTTCAGCCAAGGATTGAATAAGTTCAGTCACATTTCCAGCTTTAGGCCACTTTGATATCCAAAGGTTTCCACATAATATCAACCAATTGCATGGTATAACTGAATATTTATTTTCTTTCTCGAAAAATCCAACTACCCACTGCACATCATAATAAAGTTTAGATATATACAAATGTGTTCAATATATACTTACAGTTAGTAATTACTTACAGAAAAATATAGGTTAACATTTTATTTTTTTAAATATAATATAGGTATAATATACCTAGCTAGTAGCGGCAATGGTAGCTGCTCAAATGCGACTTGCGTTATCTTGCCGAATACTATTAAAATAGGTAGGTAGTAATCTTAATACATAGTAGCCAGTAGGTATAATAACCGGGTATTGTTCTTAAGCATAATGTAAGATAAAATAGTCTTATTAGGAGTAGGTCTTATGAAAAAACAAAAAAAAAGTGGGCAACCATATTGTAATAAACATTTAGAAAATGTTAATAATTTAACTGATCCATTAATTATATATTAGCTACATTTTAGCATTGATTATAAATAATAGTATTTATAATCAATGATTTTAGAAATGTATATTATTTTATTATTAGTTAATTAGCACTAATTATTAAGAACCAAATAGGTAATGAAAAATATAATTACTTGATTTGAAGCCATGGTTCAGTTCAGTAGTTCAGCCGTTCAGCGTTCAGCTAAATAAACAAGTTTCACTATTTCACTGAGTAGGTATACTCTGTCCCAAAAGAGAATAATCACTTTTCGCGCATCACGAATGATTCGATTGGTGCGTCGAGAACCACGTGATCACGTTAACACGCAGAAGTTAGTGGGGGATGCGCGGCACTGCCGAAAACTGGTCGGCCGACTGAGAAACATGAACAGTGAACACGTGGGACATCGTTTGGTTGTTATATGAAAATTTTAATGCGTGTTGTTGACGTCTTCAAGAGTACAAAGAAATATTGCAACCAAAATATTATTTCCCGGTAATATTATAATATTGGTAGACAGTAATAATATTATCTATATATATAAAAATGAATGTATGTCAGTGTGTCAGTGTGTCTGTGTGTCTGTGTGTCCATGTTACCATGGTTACCAAGGTTGCCATGGTTACTAAGGTTACCAAGATTTCATATCAATCTATATATATAAAAATGAATGTATGTCAGTGTGTGTGTGTGTGTGTGTGTGTGTGTGTGTGTCCATATTACCATGGCAACCATACCTGTATATAAAAAACAGTAAGCTGATTGACTGCTATCAACGCACAGCTCAAACCATTGGACGGATCTGGCTGAAATTTGGCATACGGATAGCTATTATAATATAATAATATTATAATATAATAAGAGTTGCACTTACCGCAGAAAATTACACCCAAAAGGAGTTCAACAATCATAATTTTTTTAAGAGTTGCGATTTTTTACGAGCAACCAAATGTATTATATTAATCCACAGTATTACATCAAAATAAACTTGGTATAACTTTGATACTTTAGAGTTAAATCATACACTTCCGTACAAACGGCACGGGGTCTGCGATCTACCGCAGGTAGATTGCCTACCTGATAATGTACTGCCGCGATTCAGAATTTTTATTCAGGGCAACGGGAAAGATAAGATAATTGAATTGAACAAAGGGGCGATTGTAAACTCCGCCAGAATATCGGTCAAGATAAAAAGGTAATAATAGGTCTATGGTAAACTCCGCCAGTTTTTTTTTCTTACCTGTAATGGGTATATGTAAACTCCGCCAGTTTTTTTTTTTACCTGGTCAGTACTCAGTTAACTTCAGTTAACTTCAGTTCCAACTTCGCGATCTGAAGTTATTTCTTATCTTATTCAGATGGCACCAAAAACGATCAGAGATGAAAGTTTTTTAAATCGAACAACAAATGCTTGTGAATCCTTTCATAGTCATCTGAGAAATTCATTTTAAAAAAGTCATCCGAATGTTCACATTTTTAGTAAAGTTCTTATCGAATTTCAAACCCAAATTTATATTAAACTAAATGGTATATCTCAAGTAAATCAGCTAAAAAATTCGAAATAAAAAAAAAAAAATGACAGTATTACAGGATGCTATGAATAGGTATACTAATAAAGAAATAAAAGACTTAGAATATTTGCAAATTGTATCACATCATTATAGTTTTCATACATGACAATATTTATAACGATTATTTATTAATTATTTATTATATTTTATTATATTATGTGGACGATTATTTATTTATTGTTTTTTGACTATGATTTGTGTACATTTAATGTTGACAATATTATTAATTATTATTATGAAAAATATGATTTTGGATTATTTATTATGATTTTTTATACTATGATTTAAATATTGATATGATATGATATGATATTATATTATAATTTTTTTTTAATAATATATCATATTAATTTTATACTACTATTTGATTTTCTTCACTGGCGGAGTTTACATAAACTAAATTTTACCTGATATTTTTCAGTGGCGGAGTTTACATGAACCCAATTTTACCTGTTTTTTTTTTTCTGGCGGAGTTTACAGTAAAAAAAGGTACTTGTGGCGGAGTTTACATGCGCCCGAACAAAGTTTGAGTAGGTAGTATTGAGTTGATCCATTTAACGGGCGACGAAGTGCACGGGATCAGCTAGTATTATATAATAATCATTATCACGATCGTCAGTGATGTGATGTTTAAAAATAATATGGCTTCACGATAGAAGCGGTTTACATCTGATATTTCATTTATCACACATGAAGGATATGCGACGTACATGCGAGTTCGTAAACGCGATTATCTCTATACATTCTCTTTGTTACTTCTAAGTAATTGCACACAATTATATCATACATACATCTTTATAGGATATCCCTTAAACATAATTTAAAATAAAATCTGTGACATGTTATCCATGATATAGCCTATAGAGGTTGCTTTTTGAAGTTACTTATGAGATCATAAAATGACTATCGCATTGAACTTAAAATCCTGAATTTGCACATAGGGTAGGTGTAGTAAGCTAGTTACTACGAAACAAATACCAAAATCATAAATCACGAGTGTATAGTCATTATAATATATAATAGGT